GAGAGAGAATCATTGATTGGCTACCTTCTGCATGCCCCACCCTAGGAATTGAACCGTGACCTCTAGGTTCACAGTCAGTGCACAGCCTCTTGCAGAGCCATGTTGGCCAGGCTCTTCAGTGCCTTGGAAGGGCTAGTTACTCCCCATCCTAGTCCTGGAACTTACGCTCTCTTATCTGTCTTTCTGAAATTGTTCAAAGAAAGAGTACTGTTGTCCAGTTTCACCAGTATTTAAGAAAGACTGTAATTCTAGAGGTTAAGAAGGGATTTTCTTTTTTTTCAGAATTTCTGAAGTAAATGTGGTTAGAAGAGAATAACTGCAGTTATGCTCTACATTTTGCATTTATGAATAAGAATCGAAGGTATCGATGAATGACCTCCATGAAAAACTAACTACTTTTGGCATTTTTATTGCATGGCTTTAAATTTTTCAACTTTGCTCACCTTCTAGCTATTTTTTTCATTCAACTTTCTTGGAGCCCCATTTTGATTGAAAACCCATTCTGAATAATTTTGCTGGATCACTTATTACAGTGAATTAATTCACTTCCACAAACTTAGGAATCATTCATTAATCGAGATCAACTATACATTTTAAAGGAAAATTAACTCTTTTTTACATATTTATGTCATGTCTTAGTATTGACTTTTATCTTTCTGTTCTGTAATTTTTAGTTTTACCAATTTAAACTTTGTTTGTTTGTTTGTTCTTGTATTTTTGCTTGTTTGCTTTTTCCAGATGCCTTCTTTTTCTACTCTTTTGCCATCCTCTTTCCTTAACATTTATTTAATATCCTGTAAAATACTTAAATTTTTACCTTTACTACCATACGCCAAACCCTTTTTTCTTCTCTTTTGCTAATGCTTTTGGGAGTGTTTGTTTTGCAATTTAGAATATGAAGCCTTTACAAATTTGCCTTTATTTCAACTTTGGAATAAGAATTGCATATGAGTAGGTCTGCATGAGTATATTAGGGTTGGAGGTAAGATATAGGTTATTGTTATATGTTGATTTTTCCTTTCCGAATGCCTCTCTTATGTTCTAGGTTTTTGGGTTTTGTAATCATTTGTTCACAATCAGTGCTCTTGTGAACTTACTGCTCTTTGTGAGCACATGTATACTTTTTTCTGAATTTTTGTGAAATGCAGAGATCATGCAGTGCATAAAGAATGGCATGGGCTTTTTTCTAATGCTAACTTTGCTGCTTCCTAGCTGTGTGATTTCAGGCAAGTTACTCAACTTTTTATGAGTCTCACTTTTCATATCGATATGGTTGTAGAAATTAGTGATATGTATAAAATGCTATAGGTACTATAAATAGCAGCTATTTTTATTAATACTATAAAAAGAAAATATGATTCCTAGCCAATAGACTTTTTTTTATTTTTTCCAACTTTTCTATTATAGTAAAATGTACAAAACATAAGCTTTATCATCTTAATCATACTTAATCTTTTGAGTTTACTAGTATTCCCAGGAATGGAATAGCTGGATTATATGCAAATTCTATTTTTAATTTTTTGAGAAACTACCTTACTGATTTTCACAGGGACAATACCATTTTATTTACATTCTCACCAACAGTTCACCAGGTTCCGAATTTTTCTACAGATTTGCCAGCACTTATTTTCTGCTCCTTTAAAAGTTTTTTTTATTTATTTTAGAGAAGAAGGGAGTGGGAGAGAGAGTAGAAACATCGATGATGAGAGAGAATCATTGATTGGCTGCCTCCTGCATGCCCCCTTCTGAGGATCAAGCCCGCAACCTGCACACGTATGACCAGAATCGAACCTTGGGACCTTTCAATCTGCAGACTGACTTTCTATCCACTAAGCCAAACTAGTCAGGGCTATTTTCTGCTTTTTGTTACCCTAATGGGTATAAAGTGGTATCTCACCTTAGTTTTGAGTTGTATTTCCTTTATGATTAGTGATGTTGAACATCTTTTCATGTGTCATGGCCACTACATTTTAAAAGTCATGAAAATTATTAATACTAAGTGGCCAAACAAATCTAAGTCCTTAAATCATATTTTATGTAGATCTAAATTTAAAGATGCTTTTGTAATTTTAAAATTAAAAAAAGTTACGCTGAATTGTAGTATTCAGTTACCTGATTAAAGACACATTTTTTTTCTTCATGAACAAATTAAAGACATCAAATTGCCTGATAGTGAACTTATGCAATAGTATCTCCCCTCCCAACCCCACCTGTGGGGATGCTTTCTAAGACTTCCAGTGGATGCCTGGAACTGCAGACAATACCAAACCCAATATATACTATGTGTTTGTTTGTTTTTTAAATAAATAAATAACTTTTCACTTAAAGGGAGCACTTTATGGCTCCTCTTTGGCATATCAGAATTGCCAGCATTGCCATTCTCAAGCTTTGGGGCCATTATTAACTAAAATAAGGGTTACTTGATCACAAGTCCTGTGAGATACTGTGACATTAACAACTACAGCTATTAAGTGACTAACAGCATACATATACAGTTGACCTTTGCACAATACAGGGGTTAGGGGTACTGACCTCTTACACAGTAAAAAATCTGCATATAACTGCAGTCAGTCCTCTATATATAGATTCCCTACCACAGGATAGACCCTTGAAGGTCAATTAAAAACATCCATATATAAGTGGACCTATGCAGTTCAAACCAGTATTGCTCAAGGGTCAACTGTACAGTGTAGACACCGGGCAAGGGATGATTAATGACCTGGGTGGAGTGGAACTCGATGGCATGAGATTTCATCATGGTACTCAGAGCAGTGCACAATTTAAAACCTATTATTGTTTATTTTTGGAATCTTTCATTTAATATTTTTGGACCATTTTGGACCACACGTAACTGAAACCCCAGAAAGTAAAACGTGGATAAGGAGGACCTAAGGTAGTAATAAACTCAAGAACAATCACTTTCTTGGATAACTTTATCACATTTCCTAAAAAATGGCTTTTTGAATAGTAGAGTAATAGTTTCTGTTAAGTAGTGTGGTCTTTATATGGATTGGGATTTAGAAAAATCTCTCAATGCTCACAAATATGGTAACTTTCATTGTGCCTTTAGGGTAAGAATGCCAGGATAGCTTCTTTTATCTAGTTTCTTAGCACAGTGTTCCCATGTTCAGATTTGACAGCCAGTCTCTTAACACAGTGTGGTTTTTCTGGGCAGAGTCAGTGAGCCTTTTTGAGAATCTGACCAAAGCCTCTTTCCATAGAAGTGAACATGTATATACAATATCACATACAGTTTCAGGGGATTTGTGGTCTCAAGGTTTTTGGTTACCAACAAACCAACCAACCCATACAACTCTTATTTATTTTTATATATATATATATATATTTATTTATTTTACAGAGAGGAGGAAGAAGGAGAGAGTCAGAAACATCAATGAGAGAGAAATATCAATCAGCTGCCTCCTGCACACCGTCTCCTGGGGATATGCCGGCTACCAAGGTACATGCCCTTGACCAGAATTGAACCTGGCACCCTTGAGTCTGCAGGCCAAAGCTCTATTCACTGAGCCAAACTGGCTAGGGCTACAACTCTTATTTAGGAATGTGACAAAAGTTCATACTATAAGTAACATACAATGGAATTTCTCATATGTTTATTATTTTATAAGCAATCTGGCAATTTTTTAAAAAAGTCGGCATACTATAGATAAATGATATCTGTTTGAACCTCTTATTCTTCTCTAATGTTTCAGACATTTTTCATTATTAGGACCAGAAAGAGATTTTATATAAACAGGAAGAATCTGTTAAATAGTGTCACAAGAATCAGTGATCATAATGATATTTAATACTTTGAGAATATAATCTGCCAATTTTTCAGTTAATTTAAATTTTTTTCAGGAGGTACTTATCTCAGTAAAAATAGAGATTTTTTGGAGTTGTTGGTTTCATATACAGATGTCTAGTTATTTGGCCATAAATATTAAAGCTGCTTTCCTACCTGTTACCTTCCTACCAAGCAAAAGAGTGACAATAATTCTTTAGGGTAAGAATGCCAGAATAGCTGCTTTTATCTAGTTACTATTCTTTAGGGTAAGAAGCTATCCTGGCATTCTTACCCTAAAGAATTATTGTCACACTTTTGTTTGGTAGGAAGGTAACAGATAGGAAAGCAGCTTTACTATTGGTACATTTTTAGTTCTCTGACTTGGTTAGTTAAGCTAAATCAGTTACTCTTTGTAGCAAAGTGAGCCTAATTTTGATATTTAAATACATCATGCTTTTTAACCTGTAAATTCTCTCTCCTCCTAAGCATCAGAGTTTTAGCATCAACATTTTTATTACAGCTATGATATATAAAAATATTTATATCTTTTTAGAGGCATTTTATTATAAAATATTAATCTGTCTTAATTAACACCATTGACCCCCTTACCCTTCATCGATTTTATTTTATACTTCACTTTTTTAAAAATTTGCCAAAATACATGGATCCTTTACAGTAATCCTAATTAGAGGGGCAAGGTATAGGCTCTTTTAGACCTTTTACATTTTTTCCCACAAATATATGTTAATTAAGTTACGCCTCATGTTTCAAAGGAGCAAATATTACTTGTCACATAAGTGTTATTTCAGAGAAGAGAAAGGAAACTAATCTTTATTGAGAACCTATTATGTGCCAGCCATCAGGCTAGCTGCCTTTTATATTTGTAGGGTTTGAAGATGTTTAAAGAACTTCTTCCACATGATGTTTAATCATCTTTGCAACATTATGAGTTAGGATGTGTTAAGTTACCCCATTTTATAGATGAGGAAGCAGAGGTCCAGAAAGGTTAAAAATAAGCTACATGTGGCCACATGTGTTTTCCCCCATCAATATCACCAATACAAATACCTGATTTTATGGTATATAGAGAGACTCCAATGTGAATTATTGTCTCTCAACATATCCTGGAAGAATGAAGATAATGAGAGTCTGCTTCAGTCTGACAACATTTGCAGAATCAACTTCGTAAAGACATCAAATATGAGGTTTTTTTTGTTTTTGTTTTTGTTTTTTAAATAACATTCAGAAAGATGTAAGGTTTTGTTTTGTTTTCAGAAGATGAAAAGACTTGGTTTTGGATCCTGATACTTTAAAAAGTAAGCTGATTATATGTCAATCATAGCCAAGAGAAGTGATCAGCATTATAAGATCCTTAGGATCTTTTGTTCATAATTTAACAAATAAGCCCCAGTTTCTTTTCTTGTGACTGTAGAAATGCAATCTCAATGTGATAAACTCATGCTGAGTTATAGAAGCCATGCAAGCACCACTTTCATTTACCTTGTATGATGTTGCTTCCCAGCTTGTAATATTCTCCTAAGATGAAATGACTATGCTTATTGTTCTTACTACACTAACCATACATATTTTAAGAGTTTTTTGTTTGGCTTTATTTTCCCAAGTATTAGATTATTACACCTACCTTAGACAAATTCTTTGAATTTCTGAATTACCATTTTTCACTGTTTCATTGCTTATATAAAAAATTTTGTGGGCTCTTAATTATCTGTTTATATAAAAAACTTGACCATATCTTGTAGCTTAATGGAAGAACATTAACTTGATTAATGTTAGATTTTCTTTTTAAAGACATTGTTTCATATATTCAATAGTTTATCATTCTTACGTACATTAAACATCCTCTTTGCAATTTTATGCAAAGTATTACCTAGAATATTTTTTTTCTGAGGCAATGCAAAAATGAATTTGAGGCTGTTATATTGGTGAATTCAAGTTGAGAACACAGTTTACTATGGTTTAAGAAAATTCTTGTTGAATCTGAATACTTTATTGGACTTTTTGTTTTATGGGCCTAGGACATTGTTGTATCTACTTTCTTTGGGAAAGAATGGAGTTAAGTATTAAGCATAGTTGGTATGTATAGAATCGTATCAATTACATAGACTTTAAAAAGCCTTATTAAAAATTAAATATAGAAGTTACTCATGCTTTGAAAGTATAGATGATTGAAGTAGTATCAAGCTCTATTTATTAGGCATTATATAAAACAGTGGTTGAGCCGAAACCGGTTTGGCTCAGTGGATAGAGCGTCAGCCTGTGGACTGAAAGGTCCCAGGTTCGATTCCGGTCAAGGGCATGTACCTGGGTTGCGGGCACATCTCCTGTAGGGGTGTGCAAGAGGCAACTGATCGATGTTTCTCTCTCATCGATGTTTCTAGCTCTCTATCCCTCTCTTCCTCCCTGTAAAAAATCAATAAAATATATTTTAAAAAAACAAAAAAAAAAACAGTGGTTGAATTTCATTCTAAAACTCTACCTTCCTGTTGCTTCCTCAGCCTGTTAATTAAATTATATGTTGTCGCTTTGGACACCATCTCTAAAATCTATATGATGTAATTCTATTCAAAGTTCTGGGAACAGAATGAAATTCTCTACTGGTAAAGCTGATTGAGGAAAGGAAATCGTTTTTAATTTTTGCAAACTAGTATCGAGCTAACCCTAGTATCAAGCATTCAGAATGTCAGCAAAGCATTCAGAATGTCAGAATACCACCATGACCAGGGCTATCTAAAGACACATTCAGTGGTGTGTTAACTATTCAAAAGAGACACAGTTTACAAACAAATTTTACACAGCCCTACATTTGAATTTTAAAAAGTGAGTGAATGTCTAGAGGGGGGTTAAATGCTTTATAGACAAGAGAAATAAACACAGACTAGAATTAACTGATTCATCTTCCTCCTCCTCAATTTCTTCATCTTCCTTCTTTTTCTTGCTTTTTTCATTCAGGTTTTCCGTTAGCTCTGAATGCAGCAATATTCTTTCCATGTTTCAGCTTACGATCTTTGTTTTCCTCAGGCGACTTGTCACCTGCAGCAGGGTTACCTCACACCTCTCCCAGCTTCTCCTTTTGTTTGGGGTAATAAAACAAGAGAAAGGCCAAAGGAGGCCTCTTAGGTGCTTTGGGATCTTTGAATTTCTTTTTGGTTTCCCTTTTAGGAGGGATATGATTTTTCATTACTCCTTTATAATGGGCCTGTCCACCTTTTGCCATGTCTTCAAATTTTCCTTTCTCTTTAGCAGGCAGGTCCTCCACCTCTCTGAGCACTTCTTAGAGAACTCTGAGAAGTTGATGGAAGCATCTGGGTGCTGCTGCTTGTGCTCCTCTAGGCAGATTTGCACAAAGAAAGCAGATGACATTTTGCCTCTCAGCTTCCTAGGAGCCCCTTTACCCATGTCTAGTTACTTTTCTTCCGTGAGCACAGTCTCTCAGTGCCCGTCCTGCTCACACTTGACCCAGCGCTGTCTGTGGAGCTCACGTCCTGCAGTGTCTGCAGTGATGAATTGTTGAGACCAGCTAAGACAGTCTGCTTTTGACTGGTATTGACTTTGAATTATAATAACAGAAAGCTTGAGTATTTTATCTTTGTACCTAGTGTTTTAAACTTAATTTGTTATTCTTCAAACTGTAATGTTCTTTCCCCCCTAAAACATTGCTTGAAATATTTGAAGTATCAGATGCATATAATAGAATGTAGAAAAAGCAATAGTATTTTTGCTGGAATGGCAAAAGATAACTTGTAATAAGTTTTTGCAACAAAGGAATATAAGGGATATGCCGTGATTTTTATTTATAAACAATTATAAGTCTTTAACTTTTAAATGTATATTTTGTTTTTAAATATTCCAGAGAAGCAAATATGCCCTTTTGACTTGTATTTAGATATTAAAACTCTGATTCCATCATTCTGAGCTATATACAGGGTAGGGCAAAAGTTGGTTTACAGTTGTTCATATGGAAAATAATAATAATACAAGAATAAATTGTTTTGCATACTCACAACTATAAATTTCTCTCTCTCTCTCTCTCTCTCTCTCTCTCTCTCTCTCTCTCTCTCTCTCTCTCTTCCTCTCTCTCCTTTGTGTGTGTGTGTGTTTGTGTGTGTGTGTGTGTGTGAATGTAGTTAAAGTAAAAAGCCAAATATTAGGTCATTGATACACTATGATTCAAATTTGAAGTGACTTTGGCAATATCTTGTCAGTCATGGCATCTTCATAAAGCCTTAGCTCTCATTATAAAAGCATATAAGACATGAGTTGAATAAGTTTGTCCCATGCAGAGGCATTGTTAATTATCTGATCTCTATAGAGATGAATACATATGATTTTCAAAATAATAGGAGAATTTTATATGGCACCAAGGTTATAAGATGATTCCATGCAAGTGAAACTTTGGGGTATACTAGCATCTTATAATTTAGTTTTTTTTAAAACCAGAATTTCCTATTCAATAGTTATATTAAAAGAATTTTTCAAATAATTCTTTGACTATAGAACTAAAATTGAATTGCCTATTTCATTAGTCTTATTTTATTCTTGATTTATGTAATGTAATTTGATAATCATTTTTTAAAAAATTAACAACAACAAAAACAAACCTAAAAGGAAATTGGTATTCTAATGGATGGTAATTAGTAAGCTTGGATATGGGAGAAGTCATTGATAAATGTTTGAGAATATATAAATTATGGCACAGTAACTTCTTCAGAAATTCATTTGCATTTATTGATTCTGTCTTATAGAATGTGACAGTGATGACAACCTGGGTATAAAAAGTACTCCAATGGAAGATGATTTCAGATCCACAGAAGGTAACCTAATGGGAAATTAATCCTTTCCCTACTTGAGTGTATCTTGTCTGTATTTTTCCCCCTTCTCACCTGTTCATCCCCCCCTACTCCTTCTCACCCCTTAGTTGAAAAATAGTTATCTCCACATTCAAAAGATAGTTTGCATTTTCTCATGTAAGTTGATTTAGGCATAATACTAATTTAGTAGGCAAGAACAAGATCAGCCAATTATGGCTCTTGAACCAATGCCAGTTCACTACCTAGTCTGTAAATAGTTTTATTAGAATACACTCCTCTTAAATATTGACTGTGTTGTGGCTATTATATTGCAAGAGCAAGGTTGAGTAGTTGTGACACAAATAGTATAGACTATCCCCCACCCTTGCCCTAGCCTAAAATAATTATCTTCTGACCCTTTGCAGAAAAAGTTTTCTAACCCCTGGGCTTAGAGAAAATGTTTATTTCCTAATTTTTACTTTGAGTAGATTAAAAGTTTTATTAAAAGCTTTGCAGTAGAACTATGAAAGCAAATTCTTCTGTCTAAATATTAATGGGCTGTTTCTATAATTCATGGGCTGTGTCTAAATATTAATGGGCTGCAATTAAAAGTTTTCCCTCTTTTCAAATGAAAATCTACACATTTTCTTTCATAGGTTAAAGAGAACTTTACAACAAATAATTTACTGACTATACCACTATTTGGCTATGCCTTATGCTCATTTTTTTACTTTGGCTTTTCCATCATATACTGATTTTAAATAATCATGGAAAGAAATGAAACAACGGATTTTTAAAAATATTTTAAGCTTCACTCATACCTTACATTGGTATCTTTGACATAAAGGACAGCAGTAGGAGTGAGAATGTGGAGATTTGAACGTACGGAGGGAAATGTAGCTAAACAAACATACATAGTGGCCTGATTTGTTTTCTATGTATTTGCTTGATCTCTCATATAATTAGTTTGAGACCATACTAGAGCTTTGTACTATTAGGAATTTGGGAATCTGAATCTGGCAGTGGAATTGATTCATCCATTTAATGAATTAGAAAATGAATCTCTCTCTTATAGCCAGAATTACTGGTTAAACAAAGTAAATCTGCAGCCTAATTGGAAGCAAGCTTTTTGACAAGTTGTTATCCCCGTCATGGTTTTTGAAGGACTAGATTAGTGCATAGCAGCCACATAATGATGAGTTAAACAAATGAAAGAACTTTTATGATTTTTAAATAAAAAACTGCTAGCTAAGTTGCTTATCAAGGACATCACAAGTTAAACACCATTGAGCATTTACGTAGTTCAGACTTTGCAACCTTTGCCGCACACAACCAGTCCCATAGAAAATGCCAGACAAAATTTTAACTTTTAAATAACCACATCTGGGAAGCCTTCACAGTTATGTGGGCTCCTAGCTAGTCCAGAAAACTCTGAGATGTATAACAACTGAATATGTGTCAGAATTTCTAGCATTATCTATATAATGTATTATATGGTTTAGAGATTTGTAGAGGTGTTACATTTTTGTGATTCCTTAGTTTGGAAAATGGATTATCATTAAAGGATGAAAGAGAAGGTAAGAAGGTACTTTATATTTTTAAATAGTTGCCTAAAAAAAATTGAAAGGGTGTTGTGTGTGTGGTCTTTTATTTCCTTTTGCTATATATATTTTATCACATATAATTATTATACATACTAGAGGCCCAGTGCACAAAATTAGTGCATGGGGGATGGTCCCCTCAGCCTAACCTGCACCCTCTCCAATCCAGGACATCCCTCTCACGATCCTGGACTTCTGGCTCCTAATCGCTCACTTGCCTGCCTGCCTGGTCACCCCTAACTGCCCCCAGCTGCCAGCCAAATTGCCCCTTATTGCCCCCTCCCTGCCGGCCTTGTCACTCCTAACTGGCCACCCCTCCTCCGCCAACCTGGTCACCCCTAACTGCCCCCTCTGCCAGCCTGGTCACCCCCAGCTGACCCCCCACCAGCCTAGTCACCCCTCACTGCCACCTCCTGCCAGCCTAATCGCCCCCAACTGCCCCCCTGCTGGCCTGGTCGCCCTGAACTACCCCCCCCACCCCCCAATCGGCCTGGTCATCCCCAACTGCCCCCCCTGCTGGCCTGGTTGCCCAGTTCCAACTGCCCCCTCTTCTAGTCTGGTCACCCCTCATGGCCTTCCTGCTGGCCTGGTGCCCCATGCAGCCTGCTGTTCAATTGTTTGGTTGTCTCTCACTAATCCCCCTGCCGACCTGGTCACCCCACACAGCCTGCTTACTCAGTCTTTTGGTCATCCCTTGGGTCAGCCCTGGGTGGCTGGGCAGCTGATACATGAGGCTTGCCTGCACCTCGGGTTGGCACTGGACAGCTGGGGGCCTGAGGGGACTGGGTGCTGCCAACTTGTGGCCGTGGGTGCTGCCATCTTTGAGGGTGTGGCAGTCAGTTAGCATATTCCCTCCTTATTGGCCGTGGGTGCCAACATCTTTTTGAGGGTGTGATGGTCAATTAACATATTTCCTTTTTTTTTAGATAGGATTATATATTATGACATATATAATAAAAGTGAGAAGCATACAGTGTTCCATGTAAGTTAAGGAATCTGATCTCCTCTGCACTCTCCTCTAATACCCTTACTTTCCCTTTTCCTTTTCACCAAACAGGAATTAGCTCAAATGTTAACTTTTAGGTTGAATTATATATAATTATCATTTGTGTAAGCAATTTTGTATGGTCAATGCCTCTCCTAGATTTTCCATCTTTAGAGAGAGCTAATTCCTACTTCCTCTAG